TCCTCCTCTCCTCTCCTCCTCTCCTCCTCCTCCTCCTCCTCTCTGTACCCGTTTGCTTTACTGCCCCACTGATTGCTTGTGATCTGTCTCCCCCTCCCCTCCCTCCAGGCCCTGCAGGCGTTACAGAGGCAGCCTAATGCTGCTCAGTACTTCCAGCAGCTGATGCTGCAGCAGCAGATCAACAACGCCCAGCTGCAGAACCTGGCGGCCGTGCAACAGGTAAAGGTGTGTGTATGTTACGACATCTATAATATTTTCCTAAATATACGTCAAATGCCGTGCTTTTTTTTAAGAAACTCAGAAAGCAGTAGCAGACACAAAAAAACATATAAAATCAGAATCTAGCTATTCCACCAGCTTAGACCTGGACTCACAGTGATTCATGAAATGGTCTGATAACCTCTGCAAACATTCCTCTATTGATTTTGTTTAAATTGAAACCTTAAACTCATCTTCCTCCTCTTCCTCCTCTCAGGCTACTCTGGCTGCCAGCCGTCAGTCAAGTCCTTCCAGCAGCGGCTCTTCTCAGACCACCAGCACCACAGCTGTATGTTTTAGTGGTTACACCAAAATAACTGCTCTCTGTTACTTAAAAGCTAAGAAAACCTAATACACTGTAACATTTTATCCTAACTTTATGATGATATGAAATGTATGATGTGATTACCCCAATGACCCTTAACAAAATATTAGTGTAGCCCAATTATTTTCTACAACTCTGCCAAAATACCATGTTTAAATATAATGCATAGGCATTGATTCATAATGACAGTCACCATTATATCAAATAATTAAAACATCCACTATTTGGTACTGCCCAAACTAACTGAATTACAATGTTTCAGTGATGAATACAAAATGTCATTATCCTACATTTTCCAGGCAAGTGTAACATCTGGATCTACAACCAGCAGCCGTCCTATGGGTGCCCCGGCAACGTCCACAATCAGCCAATCAGTGCTTGCTGAGTGGGGGGGCAGGGGGGCAGGGACAAATGTACCTGAGGGTGAGTTCACCAGAACATTAAGCAGACTGCATTATCAATTGTCTCTTTTAATCATCAGCTCTTTGTCATGCATACATGATGAGTTACAAGTTAATAAACATCATAAAGGAGTTTCATAAATCAGGATTTCATGACTCTTTGATGACTCCTGACTTTCATGACATTTAATATCAGTTTGAGTTTATTAAAATATGTGACCTCTGTCAGGGTTATTCCACCGTGCAGAACCCAGCTTATACTTGACACCGTATACTTGGCTTATTTTCTGTGTGTTTGATGGTCTTCTTGTCATCCTGCAGGTCAACCGCTCCCTGAGGGCCCCCATCTCCTCACAGCTCATCTTTATGCCTGGAAACACGGCCACTGCTGCCGTGGCGACTGTCCCCCAGCAGCCACAAGCTCAGCAACAGCAACAGGAAGCAATAACAAATTCCAGCAGCCAATCAAATAATGACCAGGTTTGTGGAATAAATGTGTTGATGATTAGAAGAAAAATTAACATTTGTTTCTGTATTCCTTGCCATCGATTTTTATTTGATTTCCTCTCTCTTTACTTTCCTCTCTTAGGTGCAGAATCTAGCCATGCGAGGGGTGTCGGGTCCCAAAGGTATTAAGACTGAAGCCCCAGAGAGGAGCGACTCAGGTAGAGAGGAAAGGAAACCTAAAAACTGCCTCCGTTTGTTACAAATGTATAGGGTTATTAGATTTGTTGTAGTCTTCAGTCTATGCAATGTCATACACCCAATCCTTATCTCTACACTCACAGTTTTTGATAGGTGTGTTCCAGCATGGGGTTCAAATCACCAAGTGCATTAGGGCACTGATAAGAGCTTCTCGAATCATTAAATATGCGCCCTTACTTTGAGTGTGCATATAGTTCATAGCATTTGTGTTTTTTCTGCTTCTCAACAAAATATGCACAAACCAAGCATAATGTCATGGAAATAAATTCACTAGGACGTTATTCAAGACCCTAACCCTTTTAATGTGCCTAAATCAGTGCTTCTCAAAGTGTGTGGTCCGCGGACCACTGGTGGTCCGTGAGCGCCCCCCAGTGGTCCGTAAGTATATTGGTAACATTTGAAATAAATAAATAAAGTTTTCCACACTCTCGCGGGAATATCTCCGTAATGGAGCGAGCGTACGTTTCACTTTCGATTGCATGATATAGCCCAACGCAACACCTTCGTCACACATGTTGCCACCTGTTTGTACCATTTTCAGGCGATTTGTAATCTGTTCTAGAAAAACGATGTGTTTTGGGATATTTGTGGAGTTAGGTGGTCCGTGAGTGTTTTTTTATTGGTTAAGTGGTCCTTGGTATGAAAAGGTTTGAGAAAGACTGGCCGAAATCAACAAAAGAACACAAGATTAACAATTAAACAATTGCATCTATGCTCAAACACTTTTAATTAATTATAAAATAGAAAATACATTTTCTTAATATACAGCAAAAACATGTGTGGTTGCTAATAGGTTGTTTTTAAGCCACTGTAAGTTTTTCTTCCAAGTTAAACAGGGCAAAACTATATTAATTCCATTCACAATGTAGACTGTATTCAACAGAAACTGTAAAAATAATTTCAGTATACGAAACATGACACTAGGTCTTTGCTACAAATAAGTTCAAATGTTTTCATCTGCAAGACGAAAACATTGACGATGTGAAGATCATCCCAGACCCTGGTTGTCTTGGCGTTGGGCCATAGATGTTGATGTGTCATTATGACTTCTCTCTTTTCAGCTTACTCCCTGGTCCATCCTTCCCACCAATCAAACTCCCCCTCTAAGCCGAACCAGCCACATCACCAGCTGCCCCACATCAAAATCCCAACGTACCCTCAGCCCACCAACCTCAAAGCCCACCCTTCTTCCTCTGGGGCCTCCAGCTCCACCTCCTCCATCCCTCTCTCCCAGCTCCTGCTTCACGGGACACGGACCCTCACTACAGGCACCACAGCTCCCACAGCATCACACACTCTGGTCCTGACGTCCAGTGCCCCATCCCAGGCACATGGGTATCCAGTTGGCACGGCAACCATCAAACCAGGGGTCAACGCTCAGACTTTGGTGGTGCAGCCGCTGCAGAAGACCTCGCTTGGCTCGGAAAAATCCGGACATGGAAATGGACCCATCCCCATACAACCTAAAACTCTGCAGGGGCTCCGCCTGCCCCTCCAGTTGCCCTCCAGGAACCCCCCTCCCATCCTGCCCGCCCCTCCGCCCGTCAACAGCTCCGCTCAGCCCCCCCAGCCGCCGCACATCCCGGTGCAGATCGTGGGTGCGAGGCAGAGCACTCTGGGAAACACCCAGGCTCTGACTCTGGCGCGGGGCAGCTGCTGTCCCGACGGAGCCTCTGTCCTCAGCAGCTCGTCCAGCCTGCTCACCATGGTGGCGTCCATCGCTTCCAGGGAGGGTGGGGTCATGGGTAGAGGGGTGGGGCTAAAGACGCTGCAGTCGCCTCAGGTGGCCCCCCCGTTGGCTCAGATGTCTCAGGTGCATCCGCAGAATATTCAAAACTCTGGACAAAGTCAGAATGGAGTGTTGGCTTCAAGCCCCGCCTCCTCCCAGGCCCCCATTGTTTCCCCTCCTCGCTCCTCCCTCTCCCTCCCCCTGGTGATGGAAGAGCGGAGACGGACAACATCTGCTGCCGTCACCAACGGAGACGCATCGGGAAGTCAGAAACAACAGGTCGGCAGATTTTTGTTAATTAGTCAAATTAACTTGCATCGACAAGGATTAATTTCATTTAAAATGAGTTTAAATCAGTGACCTACTCTCCTTTTAGCTGTTGTATTTTCCTGTGTGATGTTTTTAGGGAAAACAGTTGACTGGCTCATTAAAAAGGAAATTAGATTCCAATTCAGTCAATTGTGAAGACGGCCCCTCCCCTCCACGGCTCCAGCCAGTCAGAGATCACCCCTCAGCAGTCCCGACCAATCCCATCGAAGCAGGTACAAACTCAGATATGTGTTTCCAAGGGAAAAAGTCAGAAGTTGCCAAATTCCAGCAAAACTTGTAGTGTATAAAACAGCTTTAGGATAATATGGTTGTATAACTAACATTGAGTTCTAAATGTTATTCTATATACTACTCGATTTGCTGAAGTTTTCACTTTTTAAATGTGAAAGTAACAAAATATTTACTTTCTTACCTTCTCTGTCCTTCTCCTCACCTCCCAACCAGGCTCTGGCGCTCCTCCAGCCTCCTCCTCTCCCTCCCCACTGCTAACTGTGTCCCGTGGGGTTCTCCAGGGGGAGAGAGCTCCTCCCCCCCAAGCTGTGGTTAAACCCAACGTCCTTACACACCTCATAGAGGGCTTTGTCATCCAGGAAGGGGCAGAGCCATTCCCTGTGAGTACATGGGATTTATAGTTTCTAATACCCCTTTACACCGCAAAACTCAGGTATGACATTGCTCGCTGGACACCGACCATTTATTTTGATGTTTTTTGTTTTTGATTGACAGGTATGTGGTTCAGTGAAGGGCTCCCCTGGGGAGGACAGTCCAGACACCAACCAATCAGAGACTGTTGCAACAGCAACAGGTAACTGCTTTGAAAGTACTGCTTCCTTACAGACAAGTTTGAGGGTACAAAAACATTGCTTTATAATGTCAGGCCAAAATGAAACTTCTGTGTGGCATCACATGACTAAAATATAACAGCTCAAGGTACTTTTAGGTCTTAAGTTGTACTTGCTATTTTCAATTATTATAATTAACATAACATGAAAAGGTAGGGGAAGGATTTTACAAAGTGCAACAGAATGACCCTTTTTTGTACAAGCAGGGCCAGAGTTTTACTTACAACCCTCTAACTGCGAGTTTTCCCATCACATGTTCTGATGTGACAATATATTCATTGACAAGTAAAATATAGATGTGATATATTTACTATCTGCTTTGTTGTTTTCTCCAAACTCTGCCCTCAGTGCTGAAGTGTGAGTACTGTAAAAACTTTGCTCCTGCCAGCCAGTTCAGAGGCACCAAAAGGTTCTGCTCCATGTCTTGTGCCAAGAGGTACTTCAACATGCATGAAATATAATATATGCAGTGGAAGCCATATGAGAAAAAACACTCTGTGCTGCTGAGAACCACTGTAGCCTTGTGTCACATTTTGAATAGTTAAAATACAAAACAAAATCCAAATGGATGATTAAGAAAACAGTGTGTGATTCTCAGGTGGCTTCAGCTGTTTAATACACAGCATGTACGTTTTCTTTTTTTGTGTTTGTTCTTTTGTTTAAATTCCTTAATGTATGTCCCAATTCATCTTTATTCTACAAAATTGGCATATAAACATGTTTGTTTTCATGTCAAACTTCTGCCCAAACCTGATTGTTGTACATGTTCGACAATACAAACAATGCACTTGCTGCATTGTTTAAACTGTATGCTGTCAGCATATGATTGTACATTATTTGCTTCTGCTTTGCATTTGTCTCTTTGCCCACTACATGTGTGTAGATGATATACGCGTATGGTGCAAAGAGTCAAAAAACTGTATGTGTTGCTCGTCTTGGCTTCAGTACCGTATATGTCACTCTTTGTCTACGATACAGTATGTATTGGTTCCCCAGGTACAACGTCAGCTTCAGGCAGCACTTCTGCGTGCGGCAGAGTCAAGGTCACGCTCCAGATCATGACCAAGGTCAACTCTCCAACTCCGACGAGGAGGGGGGGATTGCAAGGCGGAGGGTCCCCCGCAGGACAAGTTCAGAAATAGCCAGTGCCAAGATAGCAGGAAGACCTATACCTGTTAAGGTGAGAAAGAACGGCACATATTTCATACATGATGTGAAGAAATGAAATTCAAAAAGTTGTTTTTAATCCATGCAACATCTATACACTTTAAACCACATAGAGGGCCGTAAAACTGCCTTAAAACCACAACACAACCAGAACACATACATATGATTTATAAAACAGCCTCAGCTTGTGACTTAGACAGGGAGCTTAGAATATTTTAAGATGGAAAGCAATAAAGTGGTACAGGAATTTCCTAAAACCCTTAAATGATTCAGCATTTGAACACATCTGGTTCCCAGATCATGAAGTCAATGTTTTTTTTCAACATGTTTTTTGTTTTGGTTCTACAATAGAAAATACATCAGTAAATATTCCACTTGTGAGTGTCCGAGGCTTTTGTGTGTCATAAAAACAGCAATTGCTATCAAGTGACTAAATAAGATTTCTAAACGTCATCACACCGAACACTAGCCGCCTTTAGCTTAGCGGTGGTGATGCTCAGGCATGTAACCGTGGTTAAGTTTAGCCTTGAGTTAGCCTTTTTTTAATCATAAAAGTGGGGTTAATATGCAGAGATTATCCTGCTGCACAAAACGTGTACGTATCACAACTGTGTGCTAGCTGCAGGTCTTATTTTATGCAGTGTTACAAAATCCAATGGAAAAATCCCATTGCTTTTTTGAGGCAGCCTTGTGATGCTAACTTCTGGCTCTTTCTACAAAAATGTCTTCACTGCACCACTCATATTTCAATAGCTTTCACTTGTTCATGTTAAGCCCCCAAGTGCCCCCAAGTGGCTGCAATAGGCACTGCATTACCAACCCAACTAGGATTCATTTTCACCTAGTCTCTGTGATACTGCCAAGCAGAGGGAATGTAATCTCAATGATGATACTTTATCATTTTTATTTTAAAATGTTACTTGTTATAGGTTTGTTCATGCATTGAGTCACATGGATACACTGGGGAACAATCCAGTGCAACCTAAAGCTTCCACTGTCACACAGAAGACATTTTTGTAATGCCTTGCTCGCGGGTTCCTCTGCCTCTCCTCCTCACAGTGCCGTTCAGAGTCCAGCCATTCAGACGAGGAGTCCAGTGGTGAGGAGGATGAAGATGACCCCATGTCCCTCTCTCCCGCCTCCTCCGCCTCCTGCCACCAGCCGCCTCCCCCACTCCCAACGGAGACTTCTGATCCCAGCTGCCTGCGTGCCAGCCCCGCCCAGTGGGGGGTGGAGGAAGTGTCACAGTTTATTTCCTCACTACAAGGTTGGAGAAAAAAAATGACATTAAGAGACTGATGATGATTGATGTTGCCCCTCCTGTGTCATTGTGCTCCTTATTAACATACTTCCTATTTAGCATGGATTGTTGAATCTTTGGTGGGAAACTAAATATCAATTATTTAAAAAAACAAATCAGGGTCAAAAACCACTTATTTTTTGTATTATAATTGTGACCAAGGAATATAGATTATAATTGACACAAATAATCAGTGTTTCAAAAAACTCTGCACCCATGTTGCTAAGATGTTGTGTATTCTGCTTAATGATCTGTATTTTTCACACTTTTTTGTTCCTCTTTTAATTACAACAACCTTAATGCTATTATGACTTTCTTTCTTCTCTCCGTTTCCTCTTGTCCACCTTCCCAATATTTCTTTCTCTATTTATATTGTTCATTCTCCTCTTCGCAGGCTGTGAGGAGCACGCCCCCCACTTCCTGTCACAGGAGATTGACGGACAGGCCCTGCTGCTGCTGAAGGAGGAGCACCTCATGTCCACCATGAACATCAAGCTAGGTCCTGCCCTGAAGATCTGCGCCCACATCAACACCCTGAGAGACTGATGTCAGTGTTTCCATAAATCCACCCTGTTCAAATTCAAGCCCTGGGCATTTACCCTAAACTCCTTTTCCAGGCCCAGTTAAGATATGAAACTTCATTTTCAAAACAAAGGCCTTTTTTAATCCAGCCGCTGCACTTGAAATCTGTTGTGGACTTGTCTGATCTGGAGCACATTTTCAAAGGCCGTACTAGCACAGAAGTATTGTTATGTTGTCTGTCATGTTTGTGAGTTTCAAAAATACTACAGAATGCCAACTTTATTTTGGTGAGGTTAAATGTGTCGTAAAATGCTATTGCTCTGCGAAACCAGTGCAGATATTATTTTTATCAAGTGGTTTGCTTTTTGCTTTTTTGTTGCACAATTTCAGTCTAATATCTGCATTGTAAAATGAAGGTGTTTGAATGTATTTCAATGCAGAAGTCATTATGTCATATTGTACAGGAACATTATTTTTTACAGACCTTTGTCTTTTTTCTTGCCTCTGAGAACATTGTTGGTTCTCCTTTAGGAAAACACTTCTTTTTTTAATGACAATTTATTAAAGTCACAATCAGCATTGCATTGGAACAGAACTTCAGTAAACAAACACGCCATATTTCATTCAAATCCACCCAAAACGTTGCAATGAGTCTGCATCTCAAAGATGACATTTGATTATTTTACTTCTACTTACATTTGTTTAGGGAAGTGCTTAGACCTTTCATAGCTCTGTGTTATTTATAAAAACTAGTACTTTCAAAACTGTAATCATTATCTAAGTGTAGCTATCACCATTTTTATTTTTGGAGTGGCCTATTCTACAGTTTACAGGGTACATGTACAGCACATGAGTCCAAAGGAAATCCACAATCTGAGACTGTATTCTCGCATTTAAAGATTGTTGCTTTTGCAAATGGTTTAACCGCCTGCTTCAGATCTCTACAGACGGGTCTGTATGACGGAAGGGTAACGTCATGGGCTTGAATTTGTGAAATTGAAAAGAGAAACGCTGTAAAAGATAAATAATGAAAGTCACCGACAGATGTAAACTGTTAAATAAGCTGTTGATTTGAAGTTTCTTTAACCTGCAGTCATGAACAAAGCCAGAAGGTTCTTAAAGAAGAGTAGGCTTGTAGCCACATGTGGATGAAGAAGAAATCATACCTGAATGAGTGAGTGTGAGAATGGGAAAAAAACCTTTACTGTAATAAGTGTAAAAATTGCCTTTATATTTAAATGCACATTTATTTGCTGGACTGCCTTGTTTAAGCTTTTCACTCTAGGACTTTTCTCATGTTATCTCTGTGAACCTTGTGGCCTTTCTCACTAGTCTCTACACTAGGTTTAGATGAGGATTGTCTGTTTTTTTTAACTACTTTTCATATCATTCCTTGTTTTATATTAGTGCTTACTTTTTTACGATTGTTATTTCAAGCAATGACATCTGTTGCCTTTCCCAAAAGGCGTGACTGAATGGTAGCTACCTTGATTAAGGAAACTTGCTGTCTTACTCATAGCTTTGTCAAATAGCGTGTAACTACCAACAGTATTTACCTTTCTAGCTAGCTATCTTTGGCTTTATGTTAGTGACTGTGGATATTACAGTATTTTCTTTAAAAAAGGATAATAATCTTTGATAGCTGTGTTTTATATTTCATAGTTTTCTCTGGATTTTTAAGTGTTTAAATCAGCAGATCCTTCGGCATATTGTGATGACCAAAAAAGAAATCGCCTGCTTTGCAAGTGATTGGAGCCACAATTTCTTAGTCAAATGATTGGAGGTCTGCGATGATTACCGGTGTAACATTTGTGAACAAGCAGACCATTGCAACTTTGTTTATTCAATCATTGTTTTCCTAACAAGTAGCACTTTTCTCACAAAATGACAGGATTCTGCAAAAAGCTTTTATTTTTATAGAGGCTATTTCAGGATCAAAATGTGTTTGCTTGCAATAATCAGAAAAACTGCAAATTCCTGGAGGGACTGAGTTTGAAAAAGAGAAGCTAACAAAACTATCATGCAAATAAATAACCAAGGAACTGTTCTAAAACTGTCACTTCTGTGTTTTTATGTCTGTCCTGACTTGACCTAAGCCTGAGGTCACCTAATCCTCCGGGCTAATAGACTCTTGTTTTATGTTTTTAATGTGCTTGGAACATGCGCTTCCCCGTCTCACATTCCAGTTTAATGTGGCAAGGATATTTTAAGCAAACCAGATTTTCAGCTTTGCCATTTCTCAAGTTAACTATTTCCTTTGCCATCTGTCTTTAGTCAATGTTGCTGCAGGCTTTTAACATGTTACATTTAGGGCCAGTAGCCTATATAGTGTTATACTGCAGAATATAGTGAAAGTCTTGCACGTATGACTGTATGAGGTTTACAAAAGCCTCTTATTTATTTTATAAATTATAATTATTGGTTTTAAAATAATGCAGTGTTTTAATAAAGTAGACATCACACAGCTGTTAAGTGCACCCCCTCATCTTTGTATAGCTTCTGAGAAGCTTTGTACATACAAAACATGTTGTTTCAGTGAAAAGTGCAGCAAACATGTATTGTTTTCTTTCATAACATTAGTCATTGCATAAGTTAGTTTAGAGAAAGAGACATATTTACAATCCATATATTACTATTCAAACATGTGTTCCAATATTACAAACAGATATATCAAACAAAAAGGTGTGTTTCACAAACAAGGTGCAGTTCTTTGAGAAAATGATATTTTATAAATTCTTCCATTTTCCAGTAGTCCTGGGTGTAACAACCGCCCCATCCAATCATAGCACAGCGTAGTTATACGCCTCTCCATATCCCGCCTCCCTTAGGTACTTCTCGATATCCAGTGGTTGAACCACTTTGAGAGCTTTCCTCCCATTGGCTGATTTCTCTCCCGACTGAAGTGTTCTAATGAGCTCCGACGTTGACAGACGGTGTTCGGGGCGCCAATGGCTGCAGTTCTTTATGATGGAGTATCTACAAAATAGGGTAAAAGGTCATAACATTGTAACCTAAAAACCTTATACAGTCTATGCTAAAAAATATCTATAGGCCTACGTATCTCTCCTTATATAAGAAACATAGTAAGATTATTATGACAACATATTACTGGTGTGTCGCTCGCACTCGCACCCAGTAACGTGTCGTCGTAGGCTGTTTGAAATAGTCAGCTCAGGGTTTATCGGTCAAGTTCAGTGCATGCACATGTTAACGAGATATAACGTCTCCATACAAATGTATTTAAATTGAATTTTCAAACTTGTTTTCTTTGGACGTTATAGCAGGTGAGGAGGTTAAAGTAGCTAGCAGGCTAACTGGCTTGTTAGCTAACTTAAGCTAAGTTGATTTACAATCAGTGGCTAATTAATAACACCTGTTCATACCAATGCAATTCATTACAACAGTTATGCAGTTGATTCTATCTTGGCTAAATATACATGTTATATGTTCAGTTATTTTTGACATTTCGTTTTATCTTTAATTATATTATGGTTGCAGTTCGCAGTTAAGGGATACTTTATAATAGGCTAATTGGTGTTGCTAATGTTTTTCAGTTCAAGTAACTTCTATTCAATTATTACTCATACACTTGTCGCACTTGGGTTACCAGAAATACACCCAAAACGTGTGAACAGTCCTCCAGATTGATCGATATTCTCTTGTGCAAATAAACATTCTCAAACGTGTACAATTCTTTGTGCACGCTTTTTTCAGAACATTTTTAACCAATTATCCTAATGCAAAGTGGTGGGGAAAACATTTCCCCAACGTCCGCAGTATAAATGACGCCTATGTTGAAATGTAATACCAGCTTATTATACTATACCGTTTTTTATATTTAAAATAGACACCCAGAACACTATGAACTCACTGTATATAGAAAAAAAGCCTAAAGTGAGCGTTATAAATTCCTACCTTCTGTATTAGTTATTTAATTTAACCAATATAGTCCCATTGAGATAAATAATATCGTCAAGCACAGGGAAAATTACACCAAGTGAATATAAAACATGATGTTAAGAAATTAGCTTTTTAATGTATTTGATTCTTTATTCAAAGGTCTTCAATGAAATGTATTAATTGGGGTTTCAATATAAATGCATTTTTAAAGTCAGATGCAGTGCTTTAGGAATGTTGGAAATTCAGAGCCATCAATTATTAACAGCATTGTGTGAGCTTTTGCTCCTCGACATGCTTTGTCTACCCGTACAGGATATGCGCTGATTAACATGCATAATTAGTGGGGGTTTTGTGTGCAAAGTTGGTATCTTTCTTCTGTTTGTCTTACAGTGAGTTGGAGCAAGTGGTCGGCCGTTTGAGATGCTTTCCCCTTTGTAGATACTGCAGAAGTTCGGTTGCCCTGTATTCAGCAAACGGTGGGTCACCTGTGTAACAGAGAATTACAAATTAGATGAATGTCCTTTAGCTCTAGCACTAAATGTACTTTAAACTAAACTATAATGTTAGGAGTCATACAAGTTGAGGGCATGTTCATCTACATTTAAAAACAAATGTGGGTTGTATAGTATACAGTATTGGTCCATAATTAACTCACCCTTGTTGTATAAAAGGCAATTCATATTAATTCTATGCAGGTAACTATAATCTTCCAATTCCAACATTTGACTTAATATTATGCAGTCCTTATGATTTATAAAGAAAACAATTATCTTGGTTTATCTAGAATTTAGACTCACCCAGTGTGACCATTTCGTAGAGCAGGATACCAAAGGACCATCTGTTGGAAAAAGGAATAGAATCTTAGAAACAAGAAACGGTATTTAAGTTCAAATTTAGATAGCAATTCATACTTTTTGAAATCTGCTATGAGTTGCAAACATTGAAAGCAGACAAATTGTAGAGTAAAATGTATTTTGCAACAGAAATGTTAATCAGATGATAAAAACACATTTGACCCAACCCAGTTTGAGTTTTCAATCAAAGGAATATCATATCTTTATGAATTGGCCACTCACACGTCACTGCTCTGACTGACAGCCTTTCCGCCCAGCACTTCAGGTGCCTGCCACTTCCTCATCTCAATGTCCCCGACTTCCCCCGGTGAAACGGCCTGTGTTCTCCTGCGGTAGGCCGAGCCAAATCCCCAGAGCTTTGCTGTCAGATCTCCACCAACCAGTACGCTGCGAGATCCCACGTTGCCATGGATGCAGCGCTGACCGTGCAGGTACTCCTAAAAGATGTTAAAGGTCCCATGTCATGGCCATTTCTACTGATCATAATTCCATTGTTGAGGTCTACTAGAATAGATTTATATTGTTCAATTTTCCAAACTCACATTGGTTTCTCATACAGCATCTCTGTATAGTATGTGTATTCACTCTCTGTCCTACACGCCTTGTTGGAGCTCCTGCCCCCCCCCCCCTCCCTGTGAGCCCACTATGCTCTGATGTGTGTGTATGTGTTACAATGGCGTTTGTTAGCAACCAGGAAATGACACCAGTAAGGACAAACAGATGAAAATACTGCATGGGGTCTGGGTGCTGTGTTGGCGGGATGTTGCGGGGCTCTCTGCTGTGAGGAGGGGACAGTGTGAGCTGGATTACTGGTGTTGTTTCCTGGCTGCTGTGTGGGGTCTGCGAGACAGTGAGACACAGTGAAACCCAGCCCGAGCACACACATACACCCGCAGCCTGGCTGTGAGTCTGTGTGTGTACACACACACACACACACACACACACACACACACACACACACCACACACACACACACACACACACACACACACACACACACACACACACACGCAGCCGCCGTCTCAGGCTGAGAAATCCGCAGAGCTGCAGCTGAGAAAAGATTGAGTGTATGTGTGTGTGTGAAGAAGTCCGCCGATTGGTCCAAACGTAACGGCTCCGTGCACGTAACGTAATTATACCCAATACGTTACTGTACCCAGGAAGAAAAAGAGAAATGTCCAGCGAGGCGTTCTGGGGCAGCACAGACAGGTCTTTTCTGTGTTAGAGTTTTACTCGCTACAGGGTGTACTTTGAGGGTTTGTGACTGCAGACCGTTTACATGCAGAAAAAGCTACGTAACACAAGGGGACGGGTAATAACCGGAAAAGCATGACATGGGACCTTTAAGATAAAGACAGGGTAATAAGAAGGATGCTGGAAACGTAGATTTTTGAAGGTCCTGACTGGAAAAGTAGCAACATCAGCACAAAAATACGATCTAAAAATCACCAGTTAAGTTAACCTGACAGTTTAAAAACATAACCTTAACCTATTGTTAAGTGAAGATAGGGGTTCAGATATCAGGTGGAAACTGGAAGTCTTTAGTTTTGCCACCAAATAATAAGAAATTAGGATAGAGACGGATCAGATTGGTCTCACTGCTGATTCCTACAAATCCAGTATGTTGGTCTATGAAGCAGTGAGGCAGACAGAGAAAAGCAAGCAGCAGTTGAACCAACCAGGGCAGAGGCCACCTGTCCTGCCATGGTGAAGATCTTCTTCTCCGTCATTTCACATGAAGACTCTGAACCCGAGTTGCCCTTCAGTGAGAGAGCAGAGGAAGAAAGGGAAAACATGTCAATGTCTGTCCTAATGGTTAGATTTTGAGTCAGACTATCATACCTGTCTTTTATGTGATATTTCTTACCTTTTTTTCTATCTGTGTTCATGATGAGGTTAATAAGCATAATGGGCTTGTATTACAGTGTTTTTAGAATTAGGGTAACAAACTACCTGTCAATATCAAGTAACTATTTTTTGGGGGGGTGGGTAATGGATATTTGTTCCACTTTCCGTTAAACAGAAACCTCCCTTTGTCTTCCTGCCCCTTTAGATTGTCAAAGTGTTCATCACCAGTCTCCAGTTTAATGGTGTGGTAATTAATAGAAGTATGTACCTGTTGTCGACATTTCCACAGGTACCCCAATAGGTCTCTGTGCTGCAGCTCCTCCACAACCATCACCAGGGGCGGCTGCACTGAGACTACACCCAGCAGCTCAGGTAGGAAGGGGTGAGGCCCGAGTCCTGACACGAAGGCAGCAAATCCCAAAAATTCCTGCTTTTCACGGCCGTTTGCTGTCTCTGAGAAACAGGTAAGAAAAGAGAGACTATGGCATCCATCTATTTACAGTGCAGCACAAAGAGGAACCAAATTGTGTTCATTGGTTCTGCAGCAAAACAGAATGAACATAAGGTGCCAATTACAAAATAATAACCAGGTACAGAACTAAATGCAGCAACCAAACAAACATCTAGCGCAATAACAAATAAGTAGTTAAAATACATAGTAATACATTGACACATAAAAACAGTGTCTACTCTTTTTTTAAGTACAGGTAATGAAATACGTTAAACATATTTAAGTGATATTATAAACCGTTAAAGCAGTTTTGGGGTCCATGATGTAGTAAGGTGCAAGTTAGATGAAGTGACATACGTCTGTGTTTATGACTATAGAGAGTGGGGGGGCATGGTTCATTGCTTGTTGTGATGGCAACCGTTAAACATGTAAACAGACTTACTTTTAATTTGAACCTGGGAAGTTTCATTGAAGACTACTCACAACTACTGTATTGCATATTTAGTTTACACCTCATAATGTCTTCAACTGTAAATGGTTAGTTTCATCATGATTTGTTGTGATTTAACATGGAAAGTAACTACATTTGATGTCCTTGAGGGTTTTTTTAACCTTAATTTCTGAGGAATGACTGGAACAAATAAATGATCTTGACTTCTTCAGCCGACATGCAGTAGAGCCTCTTTCTGAGGTTTGTCTCTTTCTACCTTTTAGCATCCTCAGGATGACATCTCTGTTGTCCTTGCGGGCTCTGTAGAGGATGTATGTGTTGTTAGATGTGACTAGGAAGGGCGGTTGCAGCGCAGTCATCTGGCTGAAGGCTCCTCTTTGCCTCTCTGTGGACATTGGGGGTACTGCAGCCAGAGTTGGCCTGCCATTCTGTTGCACTTGTTGAATTGACATTGGCAGCTCTTCATGTTCCAGTGGGTTAATCCCCGGGGGTGCTATTGAGGGAGAGAGACATGCAGAGCAGAGCAGAATTATACATGGGAGTCTAGTTCTTGTGGAGTTACACTGGAACCAAGTAAAATGAGAATGACGCAGAATCTTATGCATGATTGCTCACCATCAATGCCCTGTAGGTGATTTCTGTGGCTGTGCCTCTGTTTGTGCAATGCGCTGTGGTAGCGTGGAGCGGAAGTGGTCTTTGGCCGCTTCCTTTCAGGACAATACCTCAGGCAGCACACAGCCACTAAGCCCACCAGGGTTGTCAGGATGAGCAGAGTAGGGACGATGATCACTGCCTGCAAATGCTCCCTTACAACTGAGAGAGAAATTGATGTGTAAATGTCAGGGAACAGGAGGAGGCAATTTCCTTTCAGACTTATAGTGCTGGGCTTCTTGTTGACTTGGTCTGGTTTGGTAGAATGTCCCACAGCAGGAATGTCCTAATTCATAGTTTCTTATATTAAAGTTAGGACAGCACTCACAGCTCTTAAGTCCTCAATGCTCTTTTTTTATTTTGTGCGCCATGTTTTAAATGCAAACCCAATGTTTAAATGCAAACAATATTCAATTACAATGTGAGGTGGTTTGTGCAGGTTTGGTTTCAGTGTTCTGCTTAGGGTACTATGACGGGACCAATATGTTGCCTGTAAAACATGTTGCACCCCCCAAAGTGTTGACAGGATATTCTATAAGAACATTACATCATCCACCATTAACACCTCTGTTGACATGTTGATTTATAGCTAGATGCAACTGTGATTTCACAAGGCACATCCGTATTGAAAGAAACACCTTTATTTTTCATTTGTATTTAAAAGATATGTTTATTGTATTTATTGGCTGAACATCTGTATCAGTGTCACTTTGTTGACTGCCACGGGCTCTCAGCAGAAAAGATGCTCTGATCTGACATCTTGCATGCAACACGGCTAGGATACAGTAGGTAGTGGCATAGCAAGCTAAACATGCCTTTTAAACATGTTACATTAAATTCATTTACTTTTTCTTGTCGAAGAATGCTATGTTAAAGATTGCTTCCTACATTTGTGCGATGGAATTTGTCATTCAAAGATAGTCTAATGAAGTGCTGAATGAGTTTAAAACTGTTATTTTGTATATTATTGTAAATATAACAACACAAAATAAAGACATTGGTATTGCTAAAGGTAGGGTAGGTAAGAATGGAGAAACCAGCTCGAGTGCGCTAGAATTTGAAAGTTCACAACCGGAAAAAATATGCCTCTTCCTTCAGACTTCCTTACAGAGCCCCTCCTCCTACACACACGAACGCGCACATGACCAATGAGGGCACGAGATAAGTTTGTGCACAGATGGAAGGCTGACAGGCAGGTAGGCCATCCAGTTATTTTAGCCGGGCCGGCTCAGATGATTGGTCGTGCTTTTTACAGAGCTACGGCTTCCAGAGATGAAATGTTTTTAAGTATTTATTGTCAAAGCATTTCATGTATTCATTGCTATCGGGATGTTAAGAGCATTCCATGGAATATAACAAAAAGTGTTTCTGAAGTGAATTACCTACCATACCTTTAAGCGCCCAAAGTCCTTAGTTTAAGGGTAAAAGCTATGCAACAAAAATAAGACAATTAACTTTAAAATTGAGTGATGAGAATCATTTAGATATACAGGTATGTCAATCATTTATCAAAAGTTCTCCCTCTTCAGTTTTAGATGAATCACATATTTAGACACAGAGCTAGCTCTTTACTACAGTTTTATTTTAGTATTATTCTCTTTTTTTCTGTGATCGTGGAATGCATTTTTCACAATGGTGAGTCATCGTCATGCTTTTGCATTTCTGACTAGCTCTGCCTTACTTGGTTGATAATAACGTCCTGCTGCATTGTTGCTGCATTACCAACTACTCAATAAGACTGCACTATCCAGTGGGACTGGCTCAGGTGGCTGAAGTGGCTCATTGACATTCAGAGAATAAGACATTTACACATTTCTCTTTTGATAACTCGTTTTTTAATAACAATGCCAATCAGGAAATACTTAAGTGTTTCCTGGTTACACAAGGTTAATTAGTATTGCATTTTACTTCTTCACTGGACTTTTTTTTGCATGGCTTTTGTAGAAGTCATTTTGTATGCATTTTGTATTGCTTTCATTTTGTTTGCCTTTCATGAAATCGTTTTCTATCTTTCATTTCGACCCTTTACTGACAACCTTTTAACACTATACAGTAGTAGAACAACACACCCTTATATTACATAAGATTGAACATTGTGTTTTAGCCGTAGCAGGAGCCATTCACTCCATCATCCAACACTCCTGAATCCAGTGTTGTTCAAGAAGTATCTGGAATGTAAGCATCATGTTCTGGTTGTGCCACATTCTTACAAGCATTTCTTGTCATTCTCATAAAAGACTGAAACTTGAAGACTCAATACTAGTCCAACATTGTAGTCTGTTGAGACTCAATATTAACCTTGTTTAACAAAGACATGTGCCATTGCCATTCTATTTAGAAATAACAAGTGAATTCCTGTTAACACACAACTTAACAGACACCTCTTACTGTTGAAAGGTTGTATATCGTAGTTGATTGTGTAATCTTAAAGCCTTCCCAACTCTGTCTGTGAGGCAGCTGTTTTACTCCAACTGATTGTGCAATCCCATATCACCTGGAACCCCTGTATTTCATGCAGCCTTATCTAAAGGCTGGATGTTGCGACATCATTGTAGACGTCAGCAGACATTTTCATAGTTAAATAAATACAGAACTAATGAGACTCTTTATAGTTGTTAAATACCAATACATTGTCAGATTTGAAGAGTGCAATTTTGTGCTTTTTATTTTTTGTTTACCAGGACAAAACCTGCAACTGGTTTTCATCTCAACATGACCTCTGCAGATACATTCATCGTTCCTCTGATGAACTCCGTGTAATGCAAAATGGCTGTTGTTTACTTTAATGAAAATACAAAATAGCCAGAGAACTAAAAACGTCATATTATATAAATAATATATATGTTATTGGTGGAGCTAGTCAGTGTCATATATTTGCTTTAGTGTAGCAATGGTGGTCGCTGAGCATCGGCCATTATTTTCGAACATGCCGGCACTACACAAAGGTAAGAGTTTGAGTATGTGATGGAGGCTGCCTGACACAAATGTATTGAAAGAAAAAAACAAATGGGGCTGTTCATTTGAAGTTGTGTAAATATAGTTAAACTACTCTTTTTAGTATTTGTGGTTCACTTCTCCCGAACACCGTGGATAACCCAAGCACAATACAAGACAATCAACTTGAATTAGCAAGATCAAAAGTTCTCCAGGTTAAGCAAGAGCCAATCCTCTAGATTGAGTTGAATTCCCTAGCTGAAATGTAAGATTAGGAAAGCCACCCTGGCAGTTGTTAAATTCAGCTTGATGACAGGAAAATGGTTTGCTTTGAGGTAGCTAAATACTGGAATATGGGTGTGTCACAGGTTTGCAGAAAGGTGGAATCATTTAAAGAGTAATCATTGAAGAATAAGCAAGATGAGAAACACAAGACAAAGTGTAGGTGATGATGAGAGAGAGAGAGAGAGAGGTGAAGAGTGGCAGTCCTTACTACAGAGGTGGTCATCCGGTGCACACAGATTATCGGCCGTGGAGTTGAGTGACATGCTGGAGGGAAAAGAGGAACAGATAAGATCAACATTACTATCAGTTGGAGGAAGAGATCAACATTACCTCTGCTCAGCAGCCAGCTCAGATACAGGAAGCAGCATCTGCCTCTAAGAACTCTATACAGCTGGTCAAAGTTGCTGGTTCAGATTTGAGCTTTGCTTTAAGTGCTATCAGTAAAGTTCTGTAAACAGCATACGCCCAGGACTTTCTTTTTTTAATCTCTTCTTACATAACAAATATTAACAGTGAACTCTTTTTTTATCTGGACTCTCACAGCAAATATCAGAAGCAGTGTTTGACAGCTTGTTTTCTGTGTGTATAGTCAACCAGTATCAGTTACACAGATAATAGAGGAGCAGAGATCAGCATTACCATCGCTCAGCACTGACCCAAAATCCATAAAAGCCTTGAAAGGATAACCTGGCTTTAGGAAGCCCATTCAACTTCTCAAGTCACAGACATGATATACCAGCTTTATTTGATCTTAACGTTTCCCTAGAACTGTTAAAGTCTTGCATCAGGAGGGTTATTTTTACCACACAGTGAATTGTGATTCTGGGTTGAACATTTGCATAGTATTGACTACTCCTGGTCCAGGATCTTCTCTTTATTCTTGGTCCAATTCTAAAAAAGGCAGCAATGAGGCATTGGTCACAAATCTTCATGTGACAGTCACCAGCTTAAAGGGACATATGTTGTCCTGTATTCTCTCCGTTTGTTCTTGTGGAATAATGTGAATGATCAGTGCTAGCCAATAAACCAGCTACCTTGTGTTTTCAACTAGTATCACCATTAGAGAATTAGAGTATACAGTCGGAAGGGAATAATACAACTGAAAGGCTCCTAATGTAATTGCCGTTGTTGCTGACCTGGTCAAAGTCTAGACACTTCTCTATGCAGGAAATCTTCTGATACTGTGCTCTTAGTGTTATCATTTTTAGTGTTGAAAGGTGCAATACAAATAAACATGCCTTGCCTTGCCTTGCCTAGGTTTCACATCAATTATCCTTTAAAAGCACAAATGTTTCGTCATCTCCTTTGTGGGGCGTCACCAGTCAGTGAAAAGGCACAATAATACATAGACAATATCCATAAAGCAAACTAAGTGGCAGAACACAATATGCCTACGTTTTTTCAAACACGCACCTTTTACACGACAGCTCATAAATGATGAAGCACACTGCTTCCAGTGTGCCCTGGAAAGCACTTTGTGCAAGTGAGGCACCTTGTTTGTTTAACAAATGTTAACAATAGTGTGGTCTGTCAGCCTGGAACAACTTTCATGCCTGAGATTGATTTACAGCAGTATCATGCCAACAGTAATGCTACTGTCTATCTTAGTCCCGAACACAACCTGAAATCAACATAGTACACACCACTTAAGAAGTCCTAGTAGATTTAGAGAGCCTTTTATTGTCATTATACACAGAGTATAACGAGATTCAGAGTGCAACAGAAGTTAGGCCAAACTAACAGCTATTTGGCTGTTAATTGTATACATGTTATCAATGCTGGCACATATCAAAGGGATGGGCTGCATCAAGTAAGAACACAAAGTAGTTCAACCACAAAACAAATAAAGAAAAGGCTGCCCCCTCATTAAAACAGTTTGCTTTCTTAAAATGTTGACTATTTAAGAACTATGTGTAAAACATAAAACATAAAACAATGATTACATAGGTGTTTGGAAATGAAACCATGTTGAAACCGTTTTTCTTCAAATGTATGACTTATAATGTTTGTATTTAACAGTGACTTCTTAAAGGTCAATGTTCCCTTACCTAACACACTTCAGGGTTATTGATTTGCTAGCCTCTGTTGATATTGCTTTAAATGTAGTTTCTGTCAATTCAATACAACTAAGCACTAAGTGTACATTTGCTCCTTACCTGACATCACTTTATGCTGGAAAAGGTTTATTGGAAATGTGTCTATGAGCAGCTTGTATGTTGGAGAAATGTTCTCATGCCTTCCTTGTCCTTCTCATTTCCATCTCAAACCACAGGCCGTTGTTGTGTTGTAAGGGTTCTATCATTAGAGTGAAGACACTTTACAGTACAGATGTGTTTGTGACCTCTTTGGTGTGTTAACAATGCAGCGTCATCCTCACCTCATCAGCTCATCAGAGCGTGGAAAGGTCTTATTATAGAGTACGCTGTGTGAAAAAAACACACTCCATTACGAGGTCACACTGGTACATTATGAAGTAGACAATTTCTAAGGGATGACTTGAAGAGAATGGATGTCACTAAACCAGTTTGTCCACATTGTTCTCCCACATTCATATACGCCAATACCACTCCCAACACACACACACACACACACACACACACACACACACACACACACACACACACACACACACACACACACACACACACACACACACACACACACACACACACACACACACACACACACCATGAGAGCAGACACACACACACACACACACCATGAGAGCAGACACACACACACACACACACACCATGAGAGCAGACACACACACACACACACACACACACACACACACACACACACACACACACACCATGAGAGCAGACACTAAAAACCACATAGTCATTTGTTTATCCACACAACTACAAAATGGGGGTCAAAACCCACTAAATGTGTAAAGATGAACGTATGACTTGGGAAGTTAGAAAGTAGTATCATGTACTCACACATACAGTATGCCTTGATGTGTACATATTTACACACAAAATAATGCAACAGAATTGACACAAGCCCATATTGTGATACAAACGTTCATATTTTGTCCCAAGTTAGATTTGAGCTGGAAGCGTGAGTTTCAGTCACAGTATACCATTTGCCCAAATAGTTGTTTGTAAAAAATGTTTCTCTTACCTGGCCAACTTTCTACGACTGTGTGCTGCTCCAAACCAAAACATGCAGTCTGCTGACCCTGTGTAGAGTTGTATTCAAGTCCATCCTCTCAGTTGTCATGTTATCATAGTTGGTGTGCAGTTTAGAGTGATATCCACAGGAAGACACATTTCTTGGGTAGATACTGTGAAAGTCAGTTTCTATTTTGCTGTCACCAGTCAGGTGTGTTTTCTGTCGCGTTTCTTTTTCTTTTCTCTCTCTCAGGTTGGCCACACCCACCCCTCCAACACTTTATACATGCTTCCCCTTATCACCTGAACACACCTTGCATTCAGCTTTATATTTGCTGTCTGTCATAGTTGATGTGTGTCAAGTTTCCAGACAATACATTTGTCAACTTGTTTATTACTACTGTAGGCAGAAAGGCAACATGATGTATTTTCTGACCCCCATCATGTGATTACTTTAAATGGTCAAGGTAAAATATCAAAAATAACTATATATATATATCTATATAATAATAATAATACATATTATTTATATAGCACTTTTAATATAATACATCACTGAAGCAGTCTGAAACGGTTTGAAACATTTCAGTAAGTGTTGGCTTTGCCCCATGGCCACTAAGAAGGAGAATTTCCCTAAAGTAAAAAAGCAAATATTTTAAGAAAACCGCAAAACTGTTGTTAGACTTGTCAGTTTGCGTATATTGTCTTTTCTCAGTGTGGAAAAATGTAGACATTTTCACAGGCTCCAAAATAAGAGATATAGACGTTGACGTTTATGTGCTTCTACTCATATTAAATGAGTAAAGCGTATTAGAAAAATGCCTTTGTCCTTCCTCAGAGGTTTGGTGACTTGTCGAGCAGGGGTGGATCTAGACAAATATTCATGATGTGGCAAGAGGGTGGCAGGAGAATTTCAGGGGTGGCATCCCCTGGCAGAAGTATATGCTGATTTAATCGCAGTCATATCAATTAATGTTAACTTGGAAAGCCACAATATTTATTTTAACTCAATAACATAGGTGACATTATTGTGGCACATCAGCAAAGCCTTACATATAAATATATATTTTTAGTTTTCTCTTGTCTTTTTTTTTTTCTTAATTCTCTGTCAAAGCGTCTTTGAGTTTCATGAAAAGCGCTATAAAAGTCCCATGTGTTATTATTATTATTATTATTATAAGGTGGCAGACATCATGTAATGAATTTTAACTGAACAATAACTGAATGCTAATCAATGTACTTATTGCTGCAATAAGTACATTGATTAACTGTCTCTTCAATGTTTGTCTAAATTAATATGATACTATTAACAATCATATTATTCCTATCAGCTGTCAATCACTGTTATGATTCACATATTCAGTGTTATTATTAAATAAACTATATTTTTTGGAGGAGTTAATGATGAATGTTCCTCAAGATGCTTCTCACCCTCCTTCAAATTTGAAAGACAAGTAATTATATCATGTATCAAAATTCAAAAGAATCAAAGGAACAGTTCAGCACCCCACAACTTCATTGCAAACAGTTACAACCTTGACTTTACATCAGAAAGAACAAACATTAAAGAAGTGACTAACTGCATCAGTTAAGGTTAGAAAACGTGTATTCAGCTAAAACATAAACATCGCTGCAGTTATTATCCAGTGGAAAGCCCTTACCTACTGGCCTAGTTAAATCAAAGTGATTACTTTCTGTTGGCTGGGCAGTGAAGTTTTACACACCGTCTTATTTGACTTTCTCAGGACTTCAAACAGTTTTTTGGGGGCAGACCCCCTCAAAGAAAAAAATATATTTACACACGTAAGGTCATCATCTTAACAGTTTATTATTCTCATCGACTCATCCATGAGCAGAGCATCAAGTTGGCATGCCTATTACAGCTGAATGTGGCAATTACCATCTTGATCAGCAAAACGCCTCACAAACTGATTAAGATTGAAAGCTATGGTGCATTTTGATTCAATGCTGAGTACAGCCTGAAGAACATGTCGAGGATTAAAAAACTAATGTCACAACAGGACTTAGAAAAGCTTGTCCATGCTTTTATCTTTAGTAGACTCGACTACTGCAATAGTGTATTCACAGGGCTGACAAAAAACTGCAGCTGATTCAGAACGCTGCTGCACGTGTCCTAGGGATGGGTATCGTTTGAAATGTATCGATTCCGATTTCGATTCCGGTTCTGCTTATCGATTCCGGTTCTTATCGATTCCCCGTTTCGATTCCAAAATTGTAAAATAAAGAGGTCAAACGTTTAGATAACAAAAATATATTTATTCTTAAAAGCTTTAACTGAAATTGTTACTAAAAAATATACATGCAATACAAATGTATTGCACAATAGCTGTGCTTTATTTTTAACTGAGCTATGCCTGTGGCAAGCTATTAACAGGCATTACACTTTGCCTTTTCTTTTTCTTTTTTAGTGTAGTGGAGCCTCACTTCAGAGTGTTTACCGCGACCTATCTTTGGTGTTATGAAGTGACTGAGCTCGTGAAATGTCTACGGGAGGGCGGGGGAGCATCGCTGCGGGGCAACTGTGGACCTCTGTCGCCTGTCAGCGCAATTGATATGATGCCGTTTAAAAAAATGAAGGGCGGTGCCGGCCGTCAGCGTACCGAGCCGGCCGTCAACGGCCCGCTGACGACCGGCCGTTCTGTGATTCTCCAGGTCCGCCCTGTATTCCACCGGGTCACCGCAGCACCGCGGTGCAGACGGACCCGCTGGAATACAGGGTCTACCGCGTTTAGGAACCGTTAAGCAGAACCGAAATTGTGTATTTTGTATGGGTACCCGGTACCCGGCATTTTCTTATCGGTTCTCATCTGGAACCGAGTTTCGGTTCCCAACCCTAACGTGTCCTCACTAACATTAAAAGAGTGGATCACATCAGTCCGGTTCTGAAATCTCTACATTGGCTTCCAGTCGGCCAAAGAATTGATTTTAAAGTGCTATTGCTAGTTTGTAAATCATTACATGGTTTAGGACCAAAGTATATTGTTGAACTCCTACATAATTACGAGCCATCAAGGTGCCTCAGGTCTTCTGGGACGGGTCTGCTATCGGCTCCGAGAGTAACAACAAAACATGGAGAGGCAGCATTTAGCTATTATCAGGGCTGCACATAACACCTCCGCCAAAAAAAGATCACCGGGTCATTTGAAACAAAGCGCATTTGCGTACCAACATAGAGAGAGAGAGAGAGAGAGAGATTTGCGAGTTGCATACATGTATGAACCATGATATGAACTCAGAGCCGGCCCGTAGCACTGGCTAGATGTTCGCCTAGGGCGCCAGATCTGTGGAGGCGCTGCGCTGGCAGTTCTGGGAGGGAAAAAACCATTTTGACCGTTGGGGCTCATCCTAATTTTCGGCCTTGATGTAACAATATTCATAATTAAGTAAATGTAACACCCTTTTCACCCCGGTTACACGTTTCATTTGCCCTGTACGATGGGCGCTGTAAGTGATGAAAATGGGGGATGTTGGCTTATCTGGCGCCCGCAGCTCACAGACAAAATGCGAGGGAGAGAGGGAGGGTGCACCGGTACCAGCGCTGTTGTTATTAGAATCTGGTGCCGTGCTAGCTGCTCTAACGGAGATAAGAAGAAGATGTTTCTACAATAATGTGGAGGGAGAGTCCTCTCCAGTCAGACTGAGAGGCTGATACTACAGCTCAGTGAGGTAAGGACTCTTAGTCTAAGTTCAAACGGTTTGGTCACAATTTATGTAAACACATATTTCCAAGGCACTCCTTTATAATTATTGGGATAAACAGGTTTCAAATCATTCCAATGTATACTATAGGACAGTAACCAAAAATATCCTTTAAAACTGGAAAGATTAAAAAAAATGAATAAATAAATAAATGTTAAGGTAAAATAAGATATGAATGAACAACACAAATAAAACAAGTTACATTCATTTGTTATTGGCTATGGTAGGTTATTGGTTATGTTCACATACTTATTTGATTACATCCACTTGTCTAAGATGACAACAGAGACTTTCGACCCAAAACCAGCAGCTAATCTCAGACTCAACCAGAGAGGAAGAAGTAGGCCTACATCATCAGCTACCATGTCTGACAGAGAGGAAGACAGTGAGGAGAACAGTCAGGAGGGTAGTGATGACAGCTTGTAGGATTACTGGTCGTGCTAATGTTGTCTTGTGTTCACCTCTGTCTGCATGTGTGTTCTGTGTTCACCTCTGCATGTGTGTTCTGTGTTCACCTCTGCATGTGTGTTCTGTGTTCACCTCTGCATGTGTGTTCTGTGTTCACCTCTGCATGTGTGTTCAGTGCCGTGTGTCTGGCAAATAAAGTCAAGACCCCCTCAAAAGTTACGGTTTATTTCATTTTAAGGATGAGCACCAAGCAACATCTCCAGGTGCTCCTTTGAGAACCAGGGCAAACAAGTTATGTGCACCCCTGGCTATTATGCCCCGACACTCTGGAACAAACTACCCAAATCTTGCACGTCCGCAGAAACGCTTACTATTTTTAAATCGAGACTAAAAACATATCTCTTTGCCGCTGCAATTTAATTGAGCTGCTCATATTCGCACTACAGTATGCCTTTTAAACATGTGTTGTATACCTGTGGTTTTTATTTTTATTATTTTATTATCTTTGCTTTGTAATGCCTGTTGTAAAATGCCATTATATATGTGTTTTTTACGGTATGTATTCCTAAAAAGTATTTGAATTTGTTTTGTAAAGCACTTTTAATTGTCACGTACAGAAAAGTGCTATATAAATAAGCTTGCCTTGCCTTACAGCCAAACTTGGCAGGCTCTTCTCTGTCATTGTAGACCGCAAATACCTCATTCCTTCCGTCTACTTGGATCCGAAATGCTTCTCGTTTTTTGCTGTCCCCCTGTTCAAATGAAATCGCCGCCAATCATATTTCCAGGCTCGCGCCAGGGCCGGGGGAGGGGTTACAAGGCGCGTCTTGTGCTGCATTCACTTGCACTCGGACATTAGAGATTTTCTCTCATAAATGTCCGATGAGCCACAACTTTTCTTTCAAAACAAAGCTGCTAACTGGGGTGGCAGCTGGGGTGGCAAGGCATTTTTCTGAGGTGGCAGCTGCCACCCCGTGCCACCCCGTAGAACCACCACTGTTGTCGAGACATTCAAGATAAACGCTAGTAGATCAAATAAGATTAATTAGTATTTAAAGCTTCTATTGTATGGTAACCGTGCAATCATTTTTATTTACTGTGT